ATAGCTGCTCCTGTAGCTCTTTCTGGACTCCCAGGGAAGATGACTCCTGCCTCTTCCTCCCAGCATCATTTTCTGCAGACAGGGTCTCTTGGTCATGCTAGGCATCTAATTTCAGTAATAATCTTAACCTTATGCCATAGGTCACAGTGTCATAAGCATGTACAAGGAAAAGGAAGTTTTCCCTGCAGCCATGTTGTACTTATCTGTGTTATTGCAGAAATAAACCATGACACAAGAGTTAGTTGACACCATCATGAAATATCAACCTAAACTGAAGGGATGGCTGTTCAATAAGAATGGTACAGACATGCTGCTTCTATTTACAGCTCTCCTTCCTACCAGCTGCATAATTTTTATTTTTTTGAGCCTTGAGCTCCTCATCGGTGGCAGAGGACATTTCCAAGAGGACATGAGAATTCTCTGGGACACCACAAAATGGGCTATATTAATGAATACCACCTCCTGCCCAACCCTGGAATAGAATAAATCCTGTTCATGGGAAGGCGAAAACACTTTGGAGACTCTGCTAGTTCTCTCACATCACTAACTGTTCAGTGTGACAGAGTACCTATGTGTCACTGTTACTTGGGTCATCAGATATCACTTGCCGCCATAGAGGCAAAGGGTTCAGGTCTCGCAGACCAGCTAGGGGTCTCCAATTTTTCTTTTCAGGCTCCTCTTCTCTTCTTATTCAGTCTAAGCTACAGCAACTTACTCTATTGAAACACAGATGATATCTTCACAGGCTGTCTCACAGTAAGAAATTCGACACGAAGGTATCACATGCTTTACCCACAGTATTACCTCTTTGTCCATGGGAGAATCAAGTTCGAGTCCCCATCATCTGTAAACTAAAACTAATGTATCATATCACATCTTCCCTCACCCCTTTCCAAGCTGCATAAGGTTCAGGTAGAGCTATCTCTGTGGCACATGCCTGGAGCCTCAGAAGACTCTGGGTGATGTGAGAATGGCTGAATCCCTTGGGAAAGCCACACAGGTTGAATTTAAAGTGCTAAATGAGAGTTTGGGATAATATGACTCTCTCCTCCAAAGAATCCTGGAACGTGCTAATGCAGTCTGTCCCATAACCCTGGTGAAAAGGGACAGACAAAACCACAGATGAAATGCTCATCCAACTATGTTGAGAGTTCTAGTGGTTAATTGAAACAGAAAATGTACTGAAATGGTAAGCTATGTAAAAGTGGGGTAAAGTTAAATAAAATGGAAATCATAACAACAATCCACAGAATTTACTCTTCTTTCATTCATAAATGTGATGGTAATTTTGTTAGCAAATACTCTGTGACTTAGCGTGAAAAATACTCAAGATGACATCTGTAAGTACATTACTGCTGGCTTTGGCCTTTCAAGCCAAAGTATATGATTAAGGTCTCTGGCATTACAGGCTAAAGTCAAGACTGAATTTTTCTTGATGTAAGGAAAGACCCCTGTAGTATATCGATTTTTTAAATACTAGAATCTGGAGGCAGCAAAAAGAAGGAATACATCAGTACAGACTACAAGATATCTGAAGAGGATATAGCAAAATTTAAAGGCCAAATCTTTCAGTGCATCTTCTACTCTAATTAATTTTCTTCATGGATAATCCTTGCTATGGATTCAGATGCTGAAGGTAATAAGGGCTAGATGTTGGAGAGAATTATTATATCTCTTTTATAACTTGTTTCAAATCCTGAATTAAATTCACCAATAAACAACTAATCAGTATTTCCATCCCAGATTTCTGTAAGCATTGGTCTGTAACAAAGCACAATTCAGTGTTTCATAATTCATACAAAGGAGATAAAGGAATCTGAAACAGAGATAATTCAGAAAGAATAGAAGTAGACTCTGATGTTCAGATTTGATGATCCTAATATTTGGATAAATTCACTTGGCTCAGACTTTCAGCTGGTGTGACTATAACTCCTTAGCAAGGTTTTAATTCTGTTTGCATTTATGCACCTCTGCAGCATTTGCAGTGGAAATCATACTCTTGAGTAATGAATTCAAGCCTCCTGACTAAAGCACTGTTTTTCTTAGTTACTTCTGCAGATCCCTCAGAGGAAGTCCAGAGCACAGGTGGAAAACCACAGCCATAACATGTAAATGATGATATTTATATCATAACTAGATATACAAGGGAGAGAAGATAGCAGCAAGGTGCTGCCTAATTTGCAAAATTACATTAATTTGTACAGTCTGTCACACAAATCATCGAGATAAAATGGCAGCCAGCAGCTGGCAGATAACATGTGGTACTCTCCTACATACCACTGTTCTCTCTTCTAAATAGCTTACGCTAGCTGATTGCCAAGGAGAAGCTACTGGCACAGAGGGACAGCTCTCGGCACCAATGATACTTGGCTGTAAAAAGGAGATGGACACTAGTAGTGACAACATGAGCTGCTCAAACAGGCAGACACACATACAGCTTGTGTTTTAAATGCTGCAGGTGCCAGCTCAAGACAACATGATGGCTGCAGCAGGCCTTACTCCAGAGTATTACTGGGATGAAAGACCTCACTGGGCATGGCCCCAGACAATCTGGTCTGACCATGTAGCTGACCCTGCTTAGAGCAGGAGGGTGGACTGAAGACCTCCCAAGGTTGGATCTTTCCAACCTGAAAGAGCCTATGACAAGATGGTGATAGTATAACTCATTTTCACAGCCTCCTAGTGGGAGCAATACACCGAAAAAATGAAAGAATATTAGTAAAATTATACTAACGCCATAGGAGAATAGCTATAGCCATTCTCAGCTCAGATCTCCACACTTAATCTCTGCAGAGACTAAAAAACCAAAGTGCAAACACATGCAAAAGCCAGACACAGCACTACAGTTCATAAAATACTAGCTTTAAAGTGCCATTAATTTATATCTTTTAGATACTTCCCCTCTCCCCAAAGTAGACCAAGAGACAGTGCTCTGCAAACACACTTCCTCTGATTCAATGTCCTTCTGATACGGAAATCATCGGTGAAATGGATTCAAAACAATGCGGGGTGTGAAGAGTCACATCCCAAACCCTGTGAGGTTCAGCTGCTCTCAGCAAATCTCAGAACATCATTGGTGCTGCCACCCTGCACACAGCCCTGGCCCATATTTGATCCCAGCTGTCTGCCAAACACAAGCATCAGCAACACTATTGGCATGTTAAGTCAAATGGTAACACTCAAGGGAGGATGACAGAGGAAGTGTTTCTCCTTCACTAATCACTAGTGAAGATGGAAGCATTTTTGCCAATTCTGTATGGAGAAGCATAGGCAGTAAAAAGCCCTTCTGGCAGGCTGCAGCCAGAACCCATTGTCTTCTAAAGGACACTATTTGGAAGGAAAAGTGCTGTGTGGTAAAATACCCTGATTTAGTGAGAAATCACTAACTGCAAAATTCCAAATTTGGAAAAGAAGAAACAAATAATATTGCCAGAACTAATGCTGTACATTCACCTTTCCCTCTGCTGTGTTTTAGTCTTTCATCCCTGCCCTCTAACCAATGCAATGAACACCCCAAGTAGTCATCATTCGCTTCCTTTTTATGAGAGAACCTCACGGTCATCCTCATCTCTTTCCAATTAAGGAACCTATAGTTTCATTGTAGAGTTACGTATTTAATATGCTATTGAACACACACGCGCCCATATATATTCGCTACAGTTTCACTTTAAGAAAGTAATTCCAAAGTGAATAAAGACTGAACAATACTTTTCTGACATCTTCAAGATAGTTATTATGCTGCAAATTTCTCATTTGCATTTATCAAATCTCATGACAAGCTCAAAGACTTATTCTTAGAATGCACCTTTAAAACTATGCAGTAAAACTAATCTGTGCTTCTCTGCATGAACAGGGAATTTAGGCTTGTAACTCCCACCAGTATTAAAAGCAGTTCCATACACAAGTCCCATTGAATCTAGACAAGGGGAAGCCCTCATAAATCATTTTTTCTTGAATTACTAAAATACTTCCAGGGCACCTTAATTTCATGTTAAAACATCAAAGAACCACGTTACTCGTTTCTTAACTGTAACACAGTATTTTAAAAATAGTTTCAGAAATGTCCTTGGTACACTTAAGCCATCAAAGACCACAATCTGGAGAGAAGACCTTTCACAGCAATCTGCTATTTGTCATGTAAAAACAGTGACATAATCACTAGAAGTCTGAAGTTTTCCAAGTCCTGCAGTAAAAAATATCTCCATGGCTCACAAACTACTACTGGCTGTCCAAAACAAGTATCTAAACAATAATTCATTTATCTGATGTAAAACCAGCAATTTCCACTCAGCCCCTGGATGTTTTAAAAGGCAAACCCAAAAAGCTCAAAAAATGTGCAGCTAGGAAGACAAGCAGCCTTGATAGGCAGACCAAAAAAAAAAAAAAAAACCCCACGCTGCTAGGAATTTGCTCTGCATTGAATCAATACATTTAGCATAGATCCTAATTTCAGTCTTTAAGGAGGCAGCTTTCATGATTCAAGGTTAAAAGTTCCTTATCATTTTTTAAGTCTGTCATACCATATAGCTGAATATTCTGATAAAGAGGGGATACAAGCATTTGATCTACAATAGATGATGAGATATGCTCATAATTATGAAGATATTCTCATTTGTATTACCCCTGTAAAGTGCAAGAGCCATGTCTGAGGTTGTCCTTACAGGCGTCTTTAACATAATGCTACCAATGACATGTTTCTTCTTTTTGGATATTATTTTCTTCGGTGATTAATTTAAACAAAAGTTTTAAAAGCTGATCAGTATGAACTTCAGAATGAGAGCTTTATCACACACACAATGAACTTGCCTCTGAACCGAGGAGAAAAAGAAACACTGTGCTCTGCCTGCATATTCACATGCAAAGTAACAACTCCCCTTCCCGACTACCACGTTGACATCATGCAGCATCTGCCTTCGACTTTTTGCATATGCATTGAAAAGACACACCTCAGAAAATAAAAAACACAGTTTTAAAATCAAAATAACCATTTTGTTACTTACAGCATTTGATAAAATGGTAATGAGACATTCTTTCATCTCAGGCTGTAGTCTTGCTACAGGTTTCAGCATTCTCTTCTGCTACAACTGTCATGCTCAGAAAATGCATTATTTAGAGCCCTTCCTCAGGTAACCAGTATACCTCAGAATACATTATTTAATGTAGTTTCTGTGCCAGGATCTTGCAGAGGCTTCCAAGTCATCCTCACCCGACTGCTGGAGTTATGATAAACCTCTGTGCATCTTGAACCATGACTACTGCACGTGCTATTGTAGCACAATTGATTGACGCTGCTCCTAATCCCACATCCCCAGGAATAGAAAGATTTAATTGGTGTGCACTTGCAGCCACATTCTTCCAGCACTGAGGTGTGCTGCTGCACTGCGGCTCTCACAGTCCTGCCAGTTAATGGCTTTTCAATAGCTTTCAAATGGCAGCAAACTAAGCTTGATGAGTGGGCTCGAATGAAATAGCAGAGCAAGGGATCTTAAATTTTATTTGTACATGTTGTTCGTGTGCCAAATGTGACCAGATTCTTAACTGGTACTAAACCAGGATTATTTTTAGTTGCCACCAGTTGCTGTGTGAATAGGAAATTGATACAGGTTGCCAAAAATAACCACCTTTTAGCATCATAGATCATTTTTCAGCATGTTGTAAGGTAAAAATCAGGACAGAGCTCACAGCCATCTTCAGACTCTCCTGGTTTATGCATGGGTTCATTCAAATTGAGCTAAGAAAAAAGCTTGTGTGTACATTCCTTGATATGTTGTTGTTTTGTCATTTCTTTGTATTACATTGCATCTTTTTCACAGATGAAATATTAATGTCAGAAGAAAGAAACTGCAAGCTCTGCATGGTTTATATCACGATTATGTGCATGTTATCTAATGATATTTTAATCACTGATTGTAAGAGAAAATGTCTAAGAAAACACATCACTAAAAACAAGTCCATACAATTATTTATCAGACCGTGGAACAACAAGTCAATGTATACTGACGCATTACCCGGTTTCAGATTAAGGGCACACAAAAGGCAGACCTGCATTGTATTTTAAACACCCAGGCTGCATCATCCTCTGAGCACAATTCCTGCATTACTTTTCCAAGAACAGTCACCTAGGAATTTGGTTACTACTTCGAGAAACCTACAGAACTACAGTAAAATATTTTTATAAAATCAAATAATAATTTAAGAAAACTGCACTCAGAGAAGATTTACATTTGCTTATCATGTGTCGTGCTTACCACAATCATCACTTCACTGAGTGAGAGCTCTTGTAAAGGGAAACTGATAGCCCAGCCATATTTAAATCCTTTATTTGTCTGAAAGGTTCTCACCTACTATTTTGTATACATACCATTTTTAAGAGCTACAAAGCGTTAAAAGGACGACAAAGGGAAAAGGGACTAACTCATTAGTGAGGATTACTAATTCAGATTCTATTAACTATTCTGCAAAGTTCCCACAAGATATATATTCACAGGCTTCCAGTGATCCATTAGCAAAACCCTTAGGTGAAATCTCTCAGCTCCTAACAGCCACATATTTCAAATCTGGTTTTAGGTATAATATGCAAAATAATAGTTTTGCAGAACTAATTATTTAGTTTTTTTTTTTCCTGAAAACATCATTTTTCAAAAGAAAGAGAAAAAAAAAATCTAGAAATAACCAGGGGAAATAGCAATAAATTATATAAACCATAATACAGTAATTACATTACCATGGAAACTTTCTACTGTAAAGCTCAGAAGTCCAAAGTAATTAAATCTATCCAGACTTTCACACCTATACAACACTAGGCCAGTTTGAGCCATATGGCTTATAAAATAAACATACAGAGTGTTTTAAGAGGCAATGTTAGTCATAGTTCATGAGCAAGTGTCAAGTAATGTGACAAAAAGCCCTTTGAGCAATACTTTTTGGCGGAGACATTCCTGACAGGTTCATCTCTGGTGGTACTGTCAGGCAGACAGGCTGCCATGTCTAATAACATCATGTTTCCACCAACCCACTAGGTAAGTCCACCAAGGACTCTCAGTAAACACTGGCGAACAGGATTAATGGACAAAGGATGCCTTTCTGAAGACAGAGATAAAAGGAAGAGGAAGCATTTCTGATGTTGGCTTGAACAAAATGTGGAGAAAAAGTATTTGGGCCAGTCTCATTTCAGATCGTAATATATGTGTTTATCTATTGACTTGCCATAGTGAAAACTAAGGATGATGGAACTTGGTAGCATTTATGTGACAAGTTAGACTGCATACTCCATCCTGCAAGGAATGAGAGAGAATTCAACAAGGCCAAATGCAAGGTCCTGCACCTGGGTCGGGGCAACTCCCAGTATCAATACAGGCTGGCGGATGAAGGGATTGAGAGCAGCCCTGCCAAGGAGGACTTGGGGGTACTGGTGGATGAAAAGCTGGACATGAGCTG